TTTATTTGACTTTTACAAATGTTATAAGAACCAAAGTTACCTTTTAATTCCTTCACATGCAAATGTGGTAAATATAATTAGAAGCATTCTCTAAGTTTTTTGTTAGTGGGATAAATATGTCAACTCTACTATGTATTGCTTTTAGGAATAAGAAGATAAATGGACTAACAATTGAAGGAGAGAATTTTCTCTCTCATACCCAAAGTACTTTTAGGTAAAAGAAAATAAATTGCTAATAATTGAGCAGAAGAATTTTCTCTCTCAAGGTAGTGATTTTAAGTATATAAGAAGATAAGAAGATAAATTGATTAATAATTGAGCGGGAGAAATTTCTTTCTCATATGTAATGCTTTTAAATATAAGAAGATAAGAAGATAAGTTGACTAATAATTGAGCGGGAGAAAAATTTCTGCCTCAAATGTAGTGCTTTTAAGTATATATAAGATATAAGATAAGATAAGAAGATAAATTGACTAATAACTGAGCGGGAGAAATTTCTCTCTCACATGTAGTGTGACGTGCACTTTGTCGTGGTGCGCACTCAAAGTAATTAATCAATACAACGATTATACGTAGTATAACGAAGTAAGGTTCGTATCCACAGGAAAAGAAATACTTTTCTTTTTATAGAACTAGTAACAAAAGGGAGATTTAAAGTTTGATTTGATTTAATTAATTTAACACGAATATGAACGACTTATGTGGTTTACTTAATAGAGATGAAGACTTGGCTTTGCTTTTATCCAATTAATGAAATGTTCGTCGATCCCGGTTATATCTTTAACTATCTTCCTCTCGAATACTCAATCGAGGAGTATATCCAATTCATCGAGGGTAGTTATTAATAACGAGATGCGTTCATTAATAAAACTTACTACCGAATCAATATAGAACACGCGCCGTATATTAACCCGAAAGTAGCAATAAAATCAAGATGAAAACGATTGAGATTGATAACCTCAACACAAACGGTTTATCGGTTTAATCAATATAATTAATTTCCCTTCGGTTACTAAACATGAGACGCATGCATTAACAACCCAAGTTTACTACCGTGAAAGGACCGAATTAATAACAAGCGTATTAATCGGTCGATTCTAGTAATAATTAATATATGAAACAAAACTAGTTGATCCTTTAAGTAATGCTCAAAATATTAATATGAAATAGGAGTAGGAATTAATTAATATTCAAAGAAGAAGATTAAAGAAAATAACTCACAACTTACAATTCATTAAGCTTCAAAGTAGCAAAACCAAGATATGGAAGTTTAGCTCCTCATTTGGAGACTAAACATGCTATAAAAATATAAAAGAAATACTATTCTAAATTGAGTTTAAGAGTATGGAAGAAGGAGTGATTCTTTGTAAGGAAAAGTGTGCTATTTATAGGTGTTTTTCAACACCTTGGGTCGGGTGCCCGACCGGGTCAAGTTCCCACCCGACCGGGTGCATGTCAAAATCAGATAATCTTCCACGTTCTTGTGTTTCATCACGTTAAAATGTCTCGGGTCAAGTCAGACCCGACCAGGTGGGATAGGGGACCCGATCGGGTCTGGAAATTTCCTGAGCTTCTTCATTTGTTAAATCTTACCGGACCGGGTCAAGTGTTATACCCGGTCGGGTTTCAGCTCCTGGACAGTCCAATCTCCTTTTTCTTCACTTCAAAGTCTCCCTTTCCAACACCATAATTCCTAATTCTACTTTCCAACTTACAAATGAAGATTAAAATACAATTACAACTAAAATCACACAAATGTTTACAAACTAAATAAAACGATAAACAATACACACAAATCAAACATAAAAACATACACTTATGGACTACTAATTAGTGCATATCATAGTGCTTTTAAGCACTCCCTCCATCCCCTAAAACTTTTAAGCGACATAGGGAGTATAAGATAAGATAAGAAGATAAATTGACTAATAACTGAGCGGGGGAAATTTCTTTCTCACATGTAGTACTTTTAAGTATAAGATAAGATAAGAAGATAAGAATATAAAAAGATAAATTGACTAATAATTGACCGGGAGAAATTTCTCTGTCATATGTAATGCTTTTATGTATATGTATAAGAAGATAAGAAGATAAATTGACTAATAATTGAACGGGAGAAATTTCTCTCTCATATGTAGTGCTTTTAAGTATAAGATAAGATAAGAAGATAAATTGATTAATAATTGAGCGGGAAAAATTTCTCTCTCATATGTAGTGCTTTTAAGTATAAGATGTATAAGAAGATAAGAAGATAAATTGACTAATAATTGAGCGAGAGAAATTTCTCTCTCATATGTAGTGCTTTTAAGTATAAGATGTATAAGAAGATAAGAAGATAAATTGACTAATAATTGAGCGGGAGAAATTTCTCTCTCATATGTAGTGCTTTTAAGTATAAGATAAGATAAGAAGATAAATTGATTAATAATTGAGCGGGAAAAATTTCTCTCTCATATGTAGTGATTTTAAGCATAAGATGTATAAGAAGATAAGAAGATAAATTGACTAATAATTGAGCGGGAGAAATTTCTCTCTCATATGTAGTGCTTTTAAGTATAAGATAAGATAAGAAGATAAATTGATTAATAATTGAGCGGGAAAAATTTCTCTCTCATATGTAGTGCTTTCAAGTATAAGATGTATAAGAAGATAAGAAGATAAATTGACTAATAATTGAGCGAGAGAAATTTCTCTCTCATATGTAGTGCTTTTAAGTATAAGATGTATAAGAAGATAAGAAGATAAATTGACTAATAATTGAGCGGGAGAAATTTCTCTCTCATATGTAGTGCTTTTAAGTATAAGATAAGATAAGAAGATAAATTGATTAATAATTGAGCGGGAAAAATTTCTCTCTCATATGTAGTGATTTTAAGCATAAGATAAGATAAGATAAGCGGACTAATAGTTGAGAGATGGAATTTCTCTCATATGTGGTGCTTTTAACTTTTAAGTATAAGAAAAGCGGAGTAATAATTGAGAGGGGGAATTTTTCTCTCATATGTCCTTTTAAGTATACGATAAAAGACTAATTATTGAGCACAAAAATTTTCTCCCATGTAGTGATTTTGGGTATAACAAAATAAGTGTGTTAATTACATTTTTTCTCTCTTACACGGAAAAAGTTTCTCTCTAATACGGAAAATTTTTCTCTTTAATATGGGGAAATTTTGTATCTCTTATAAAGGACTAACAAATGATGGAGAAGATTTCCACTTTCATCTTCTCTCTCATGACTTTTTAAACTTATAAACTTTTCATATAGTTGTCGCTTATGTTATGACAAATTGACAATCAATAAATATTAAACTCTATCACTAGAAAAAGATGAAATATTGACGTATTTTAGTCATCTAAAGCTCCATATATGTGGCGTTATTAAGGGTTTAGAAAATGGGGATAAGAGATTTTAATACATGATAAGAAAAGAAAATCATTAGACATTACCACTAAAAGTTCTCTTTAAAGTAAATTTTCAAAACTCTAACAATTAAATTCAATATTTCATTACCATTACCAACAATACTAATTATTATTACGTAGCAAATTCTAATAGATGGTGTAAATGTTTTTATTTTAATATTCTTTTACTTTGAATATTTTTTGGATGAATTTATTCTTTTTTATTTTTTGGGAGAAATTTATTTATTTATTCATTTTTATATTCACTAATTGTACTCCATTTTTGAAATGATGTAAAATTGTAAAGAAAAACTGATATTTTTATATTTAATCATATCGTGAATAAAAATATATATGGACCAGCTCTTTTTTCCCGGTGTATGCACGGGTACTGTGCTAGTTTACTAAAAAAACTTAGTTTTAGGTGTTTGAAATTGATTCAACTCACTTCGTTTTTAAAAGCAGAAGCAGAATCAGTTTATCAGAAATAAGGGTCTGTTTGCAACAGCTTCTGCTATTAAAAAAGTAATTTCTTTAATGAAATGGGGAGAAGTGATTAAATAAAAGTGGAGTGTTTGAGAAAAAAGTGATTTTGAAAAGTAAAAGTGAGTAGTGTTTGGTAAAATAAGTGTTTTTGTGTAATAGAAAAAGTAAAACACTTTTGACGCGGAAGCCGAGAAAAATAAAAGTTGTAGTGTTTGGGAAAATAAATGTTTTTTAAAGCTAAAAGCTGAGAAGTGTTTTTTTAAAAGCAATTGCAAACCAACCCTAAATCTCTCCCAACTTTTGTTCCTTAAAGGAGCAAAAACAAAAGTTAATCCAAACACCCTTATGCATAACTATAGAAGTTTTGCTCCCCTCACCATCACTATACCCATTGTGGTGGTTTAGGATTTAGGAAGAGCATGTATCACCGGTCACTTGGGGTATACCAGGTCCAACCCAATCTGAAATCGGGTGTGCAGCAATGCAGAACTAGAGTCACTAGACCAGGCCCATTTTCCTGATTCCGAGCCAACACCTAGGGTACCTGGTCCCAATTCTTGGTTTTGGGGACCGATTAAAATTAAATTTTTTTAGCCATGGAATCAGGAAAAATTAAAAAAAAAAAAAGAAAAAAAAAAAAAGCAGAACCAAGTCCAATATCGGGACAGCCCTAGTACCCTAAACCAGCGAAGACCAGAATCCCAGATTTATGCAGGCCGTGCCCGAGCTACAAAAGAAATGGGAGGGACCAGTGGTCTCAATCCGACCCAGGTCCATCCACCGGTCAGCAGTGCATCTAATGGGGAAGGAAATTATGAGTAACTACTATCAAAAGTAATAACATCATTAGAGAAAGTGAAATGCTGATTAAGCAAATGTTCAATTTCGTGATTATTGAACTTGTAAAATAGATTAACGGAAATATGGTGGTGAGCATTTCACATTACGACATCCATCAAACGATTAATTATAGGACATCCGAGTCCGACGGTGCTACCGGTCTAAACTCTCACAGGCGCACCATCGACCAGACGGCAAAAGGAGCATAGATTTGTGACTCATACATAATACACATGTAAGATATACTGCAATGAAAAAGCACCACATCATTTCACTAATCACCATTTAAACATGAAATCAAAGTACACTATACCAGACTTCCAGTAAATGGACACTAAACTGGAAAACTTAAACACTGAAATCAAGTACCTATCCTTGAGTCCGCTGACTCTGCACAAGTACTCTGCTTTTTTTTAAATAGAAAATACAATAACAATTAAACAATACTGCATTATAATAATTAGACACGGGAATGGTAAACTTGCAGCAGATGCGAGATGGTAGTCTCCCAAACAAGGAGAGAAAACGATGCATTAAATGTTCTTAAAGGTTTACAAAAGGATTTTATGTTCATTACTGGGAGCATTATATCACTTTCTTGGCCTATAATCAGCCCTCTTTGCTTCATCCTGAGTTGAAAATACAATAATAATTAAACACTACTGCATTATAATAATTAGACACGGGAATGGTAAACTTGCAGCAAATGCGAGATGCCTTTGAGATGGTAGTCTCCCAAACAAGGAGAGAAAACGATGCATTAAATGTTCTTAAAGTTTTAAAAAAGGATTTTATGTTCATTACTGGGAGCATTATATCACTTTCTTGGCCTATAATCAGCCCTCTTTGCTTCATCCTGAGTTGAAGGAAATAGCTCAATGTACCTTGACCCGATCATCATATTATCCTTACACATAGCGCTCTTTGCCTCCTCTGGAGATGAAAATTCCACATAAGCCTCCCCAGTAGCCTTCCCGTCAGATCGATACCCAATACATACTTTTTCATCAGTCAGATTGTAATCCCCACCAAAAAACTTGATAATATCTGATTTATTGACTGAAAAGGGAAGTCCACGGAGTTTCAACGTCTCAGTATACTCCAAGTGATCCTTGTTCTGTGTCCGTTTAGGTGGTCTATGGGCCTGTGGTGGTGGAGAACTGTGGTGGTGGTGGTCGTGTTCGAAACCCTGCAACTCTCTCATCTCAGCAGCAATAGCCTGATAGTAGTCCTGCTTCTTGCACCTGAAAACCTCCACATACCTCCTTCCTATGTTCTGACGGTCTCTCAGGAGGGCGTTCTCAGCATGCATGTTTCCGGCAAACAGTACGAATGCCTCACCAGAGAACCGACCATTCTTGTTGACCATGAACGCATCGATTATATCTAGACCAGCGAAAAAGAGACGGATGTCGGATTCTGAACAGTCAAAAGGGAGACCCCTGAGACGGACCACTGGGAACGCTGACGCGGATGGATATCCATGACCGAACGGGTAACCATTTTGACTAATGTTCACTGCAAAGTAGGGATTTGATTCTGTCATTCTTGGTCTCTTTGAGCCGATGTCGTACCCGTCTCTAACCCCCCCGCTCCCCAACATGGCCCTTCAATTATTCACACAGAAAATAGACAAAAATACCCCAGCTCAACCTTGTTAATAAAACCATGCCCAACCCATATGGTTTCTAAATCTTAGACTCATACCTTCTATGAACATATCATGAACATAAAAATGCATGCATGTAGACTAGTGAAGCAAGCAATAAAATATGCGAGCCAAATTCAAAAAAGGAGACCGGAAATACATTAACCATTAAGAAATAGCACTCAAAATCCACCCTCATAGTATCAAGAGAAGGAAATTAGAAATAAGACTACTGACTAGTGACTTCTGTCTCACAAAAGGAAACCTGTCTGGTCAAGATGACATCGTGACATACTTATATTTTTGACATCTATTTGCTGCTTTAGCTCAACTTATCATATTTAACTAGTTGGCAACTTTTTTTGTCAATTAAATGAAAAAAACTTTGTTTGATTAAAAATGACTCCTTTGTTGGGAAAAAAGATTTTAAAACAGCGCATCTGTTGTGACCGATGGAGTATTAATGCATAAATAGAATAAATGTGTGAAAACCCTGATCATATCATGATGTGTCCAGAAGCTCTACTGACCGAAACAATTGCAGTCAGAAGACCAAGTATAATGCAATTATATTGGGATTAGTAATCGAAGTGAGGAGAATGATATCAAGTTATCCACAGAAAGAGCTCCAAGAGAATTTAATTTGACACCTCAAGCAAGACTCATCAAGAACTATATATTCATATTTAAACCAGTTTTCCAAGAAATCTCATGCCCATCTATATCTCTCTCTCTATATACATATAAAAGATGGACCGCCTGAGATAACGTGACACGCTTTCCTCCGTACTAAAGCAACACTGGCGGCGTATTGGTTGGTCATTAAATTACAGCTTATTACAACTCCCTGATTAAGAAAAAAAATTATCTTTCAACTGAACAACACCCTCTAAGCTGATGAGATATAAAAACATATGTACGAACAAACAAAACAAGATGCGATAACATAAGAAGACAGTTATTAATGATCGACTAACCTCGGGATATTAGACGATCGGCGTGGTATAGACTGCGCCCGGACTAAGGGAAGCGGAACTGGAAACGGAGAGAACAATATAGCGTACGACCGTCTGGCTGAGAGATAGCGGTGGAGGGATGGTAGATCGGATGAATTGGTACACTGGAGAGATCGGTTAGGTTATTCCAGATAATGGGCATGTGATTTTCTAATTGGGCCGGATCAAACAGTTAGGCCATTAACTTTAGATCATTTAATTTAGCAGATACTCCATATTAAGAGCTCGTTTGGTAGCACGAAAATCGGCTGTATTGGCTGATTCTGCTGATTTAAGAAACAATTACTTTTAAAATATATGTTATTAATAAAATAAAGAAAAAATTATATGTAAAAATAGTTAAAATGGCACCTACAGTAACTTCAGCCAAAACAGCCAGAAAAGTAACTCCAACCTTACTTTTTCTGTTTATTACACAACTCAGACGCGAAAGTAAAAGTTACGTGTTTGGTGAAAAAGTTGGCTGATAAGCCTGATAAGCCGAAAAACAGGGCTGTCAAACGGCTTCTAAAAGGGTAAGTTTGGTTTGTTCGGTTTTGATAAAAAACCTAAATACGGAATCAAAGTAAAAGGTTCGATTTCGTTTCAAATAGTTTTGCATTTCAATACTTGAAATCATGTTGTAATTGGTTCCATTTGTTTCGGTTCAGATTCTGTTTTTTGGGTTTTTTACTAGCATATTGTTGTCAAAAAATGTAAGCATATTAGAACAAATGAATTAAATTACCAAAAAACAGGAAATAAATATGTCTTGAATTATATGAGTATGCGGGATAGATAATACGATAGTACATTTTTCCAATTGCTTGGAACAAAAGTGTATATCTTCTTCATTTACATTTTTGTGACTAGTTTGAAAAAAGTTCATGAGTATTTAGTTCTGTGTAATATAGCTGAGATGAATATTTATTTGTTCTATTAATATAAACTTTAAGTTACATAAAAATAAAAGTTACTAGTAATAATCAGTTAAAATATATCACAATCATGCAATCAATTGAAAAAATGTATACGAATTATCAAAATCATAATAGATCAATATAGCTACATTATCATATGCGATGAATGTGTAAATGCATGTATAAGCTAAACTAAACATAACATGATAATTAATTTTCTAGCACAAGAAAACTAAAGACTATCGATGATATTATGATTAATATTTAACGATTAATATTTAACAAATAAAAATTCATATTTTGATTAATTCAGTTTATTCGGTTCGGTTTTGAAGGCTAAAAATCAAAACTTAACCAAACAACTATGGATCGGTTCGGTTTCTTACTTCCGGTTTCGGGTTTGTAGCGGTTCGGTTTAATTTGGTTATGATTCGGTTCATTTTGATTCAGTTTTTTATTTTTGGTTTTTTAGACTCTACCCTCATGGACTTGTTATTTATATTGGTTATTTGTTGGGCATGTGTGCCCTTGTTTGCCGCTTGTGGCTTGATTTAAGAAGTTGCTAGTTACATTTATTTTGATATTATTTACTTAAATTCTTTCTTTATTACTTAAAAAATGACTAAAGTGGTTTATGTCTCCTTGCACACATATCAACCACATTGTTCTTATTTTATTATTATTCTATGTGCAAGTCAAAGTTGGTCAAGTTTTGTGGGATGGAGGGAGTATATTTAGCGCGCAAAATTAAGTGTTATATGTCTATATATAAAAGCAACTGGAAATATTGGTCATTTTCCCGCTCAAAGTCGTTCCATCAAATAAGGCACATGTTGCGTGTTGAACTTATAATACTCAAGGGTTAAAGAAGTGCATTGATATGGATGAGATAGGTGTCAGTTTGGGTTTCTGTATACAGAGGAGGTCAGGAAAACTTAAAAATATACATCTGTTTCAACTCCCTTGCCTATTATACATCTGCATCCCAATTTTCTCTACCGTTCTTTGGCCATCCATTGACTGAAAGCAGGCCAAAGGTTTCCGGCAGAGGGCGTCATTAGAACTGAAATGTGGTCCTCTGTTTTTATGGGTAGATCATCGCCAACATCTCGATGTTGGTTGCCCTTTCAGTGTCTGTGACACCTAGGAATGGGATAGCAATAGGCTAAGGATATTTGGCAGGGATAGCGCGCTAGCAATGACGTGTTCATCAATTGGCACCAGCGATTGGCAATGGTCCACAGCTCCGACCACATCTGCTACCATGCACTCAATTGACGATGAATATTGATCAATTGCTGCATACTTTTCCACCGCTATAGTTGTATACTAGTATATTATTAAACTACATATTCTCAATATTAATATTTAAATTTCATGTAATGTGAGTTGGAATGATTTGTCACAAAAGTTACACTCAATTTGTAAAATATTTGTAAACTAAAAAATATACCTTTTTTAACATCATCTTCTTAATTACCACACTACAATTCTTAGAAATTTATGGATCTTGTTATAACAAAGGCTTAGAGCATCCACATTCATGATTCTAACATAATATGATTATTTGTGATTCTTACCTTTTAATATTTATCACATAAATGTATTAACTTCATAAATATTCTCGAATTAATCCGGTTTTATATTTTGATCTCGGATTATTCTATCAATTAATTCTGTCCAATAATCTCTCTCACTCAACTATGCTCTCCGAAATAATCAGTCATGTCACTAGAATAATCACCTAATAATCTCATGGATGATGATGCCCTTATAAGTGTTGCTAACTCATAATTTAATGAGCGCCTTCTCTATCTCTTCTCCTAATCCTACGATTTAAGTGACATTTCTCATTTTAATGAGATATACACGCCTCAAGTATTATACATGTATTTCAAAATTTGATTACTTTTTGCAACATTACAGTATTGTTTAGGCATTTCATATTTGAATATGGGACTTCCAACTTACTAGTGTCGGTACGATAAAAGGTTAAGGTCTCACAGTAAATCGAAAAATCTGAAATACTCACTATGTGGTTTCCAAGTTAAATTAAAGTTTTCACCAAGGAAAAGAGCTCGTCTGACCTTACTTGATCTATTATACTCTGATGATAAAAAAATCACCCATTTTTTACAAAACATACTAGCATATAATATATTTTCTTTCACATCAATAAGAGGAAAGATTGATTTTAGTCACAATATTAGTAAGTCTCCTCCAATTTTCAAATTGCATGGAAAAAACTACCATTTAATCGGAAGTCTGATGTCAGAGCAAAATGGAACACCTACATTTACATAATTATACATTTAAGACATGTTAGTTAAGTGTTTTCGTTATTAAATTTATTAAATGTGTAATACTTTTTATTATCCTATAAATGAGTAGATGTTAAAACTTGTAGTTCTATCCTAAAGACCAACCTGATAGGAGGAGTAGTTCAAGATCTTATATAGTGCTTGATTTTTATACAAATCTGATGTGGAACAAATACTTCAGCATGTCGATCAACACAAACCGAGTTAGACAGCATGAAGGTTATAAATGGGCCAAACAAACCCCTAACGAGCTACCCTTAGTCATGGGTGCTGAACAATAACCAAACAACAACTGAACCTAGTTCTGATACTATATGAAGAGTTCTAATTCTATCCTAAAATGTCAACATTATAAGAGGAATAATCCAAGATTTTATATAGTGTTTGATTTGTTTATATCAATCCAATGTGGGAGATCTACTTCAGCACGCACCTCAACCCAAATCGGGCCAGACAACACCAGGATTATAAATGGGTCAAACAAACTTTTAACGAACTACCCTTAATAATGGGTGCTAAACAACAATCAAACCACAATTGAACCTAACTCTAATGTCATATTAAGAGTTGTGTTCCATCCTAAAAGGTCAATCTGATAGGAGTAACTCAAGATCTTATATAGTGATTGATTTCTATATTCCAATCTGGTTTAAGACATATAATTCAACATTGCATCGATAGTTTCTAGCGAATTCTCTTTCCGCCTTGCAACGTTTTTATACAATACTATTCTAACGCATGAAGCTAGGTTGGAGGTGCCCGATAATACTAACGATTGTCGATGGCATAAACAATGATGACAATTGCAGTTGGGATATGGTGCGATAGAGATAATTAGAATTATGATTACTCTTCATTTACAAAAAACAAAAAGTTATCCTATTTTTATTCATCTAAAAATATGTGGATTGCATATATTTTCATATTTAGTCATATAGACAAGAGATGACATTCAAGTGAGTTGTTAAAAAGAACATACATAGTAAAACGTTTACAAAAACAATTCTAAACATAAAATGAAAGGCTTTTTCTGTGATGTTTGAAGTGAACCCGAGCTACATATTAAACTTTCGTATTCTAAACATCCCGTTATGATTGTCACATTTTTCATTTTGAGCTGTCCCACAAATATTGTTCAATTCCACTTCTAATTCTTGCCTACACTGGTCTCTTGCGTCATCTTCTGCTCCACCCGCTACTTCTTCTTAAAATCACATTTTTTCCCATCCCACAGCACATCTCACCCTTGTCGTCCAGTGAGTTGTTCAGTTGCTCTGAACCCACTGCTTACTCCTCATCCGATAACTCAGCATCCTCCACCGGCGACCACGACCACACCTTTTTTTGTTGAACAACCTTCACTAGTTAGCCTTCCCCGTAAGTCCTACATCTCCAGTTCTCTACCCTTATCCAATCCTTGCCCCACCCCATTTGTTCTCATATCATCTCATGAAAACTACTTTGAATTTTAAAACCCAAACCTATTTAATTTAAATATAGTTGTTACATCATGTGATCTTCTTTTACTATCGCCAATGAAGATCTTAAATGGAGGGCGGCTATGGCCAAAAAAAATAATGCACACATTGCTAATCATAGATGCGATTTAGTATCATTTGACTCTTCTAAAAATGTGTTGGGTCCAAATGGATTTATAAAACAAAATGTCACTCGGATGGTTCTGTTGAGCTTTATAAAGCTAGACTGATTTCATGGGGTTTCAAGCAGCAATCGAGTGTCGATTTTACTAAGACATTTATTCTTGCAGTTAAGCCTATTCAATTTCTTATCATCTTTACATTTGCAGTCTCTTTTGGTTGGTCCATTAGATAGTTAGATGTTTAAAATGCTTTTTTACGATCATCTTATTAAAGAGGTATACATGTGTCGGTCACATGGTTTTATTCATCCTCAATTTCTCACTCACTTGTGTCACATTCGTAAAGCTATCTATGGTCTCGAATCAGGTCAAGAGCCTGGTTTAATTGTTTTAGTAGCTTTCTCCCATGTCAGGACTTTGTATGTAGTAGGTCCGATAATTCTTTATTCATTTTCCGTGATAATTTTAGTATTCTTTATCTTTTACTAGTTGTTGATGATATCATTATTACGGTAAATTATCTTACTTTCATACACACATTTGTTACTTTACTAGCCAAATATTTTGCTATAGAATATTTGGGAACCTTCATTTTTTGCTTGATGTTCAGGCCAATATAACTCCTCAGGGAGTATTTCTTTCTCAATAAAAGTGTGTGTCAGATCTCTTAATTCGTTTTCATTTTCATACACTTAAACACGACTACACTCCACTTCCTCGCAAATCAAATTTTCTCCTCTATATGGTGAACTTCTTTCACATCCTACGAATTATCATAGTATGGTAGGTGCTCTACTGTATTTGGTTAGGACTAACATGATATTATAACTGTTGTTCATTTGGTTTCCCAATTTTTGCATGTTCTTCACATTTCACATTGTTAGGCGGTCAAATGTATTTTCATGTATCTGCAGGGATCTTCTATACATAACTTATGGCTCAAACCATCAGGTTCGTGCCATGCTCTTACTACTGATTCTGATGATGATTGGGCTGGTTGTCCTGATAGCAGTCATTCTACCTTTGATTTCACTATTTCGCTTGGTCTCCTATGGTGTACGTCTTGGCAGTCTAAAAACAACCTATTGTTTCCACATCATGTACAAAAGCTAAATATAAAGTTACTGCTTATATAATTCAAGATACATTGCATATTCGCTCCATTTTGTCTCAACTGGTATCTCTATTATATTCACAATCCTATTCAATTACTATGTGATAATGTTTATGTTTCCTATTTGTCTACAAATATTAATCAGCTCTCAGTACATAAACATATCAACATTGACTATTATTTTGTTCAGGCACGGCGTGCCTGGCAATTCCAACGACCAGGTACATCGTAACACTACAGGCACAGCGTGCCTCCCTAGGCACGACCGTGTCTTCCATTCCGAAGTTGAAGATGCTTCCTTCATGAAAGTTGTAGATAATGATTTCCTCTATCCACCACAACTTGCTGAATTGGATTTGAATCATCCAATCAAGAGATATGATCAAAACGGTGGAAGGTCTCATTCTGAAATCGCAACAGATATCATCTGACTTCATCGTCTGTTTTCACCTTCTTCCTCTCATATTCTCGAAATGATTCCTTCATATGATTTGTAGCCCTTGAAGTTGGATTTCATATGCAACTTGAATCGTGTCCTTTAGATGCTTCTACAAAGAGATATGCTTGAACGATTAACAGAAGGTCATCCTGATCGTCGTTTTCAAGCTTCATTCATCTTCTTTTGATCCCGTAGCCAATCCTAGAGCTCTTTTGTCATCAAATTTTCATTGTGAACCTCCCGGTGACTTCCAAAGCTCTCAAATCACTCTCGAATGCTTCTCGACTCGTCCCGATTTCTTCTCAAGCGCCGGTGCCGGGCTCAAATTCCCTGATTTGGACTACAAACAACACAAAACTCGAACCAACGCCCGGTAAACATAACTTGAGCTAAAATTGAGACTTGTAACACCTTAAAGGTAGGAAACCATCAAAAGCCGATCCCAACACGCATCAAATGCGTGTCGAAATATGGACTTATCACTCCCGCATAACACAGATTGGTGTGTGTAATAATGTAGATTTATACCTTATATAGGGTATTTTATATTTAGTAGATAACCTATTGTATTTTGGACTCTTTATTTATTTATTTATTTATTTGTATATTTATTTATTTATTTATTTATTTATTTATTTATTTATTTATTTATTTATTTATTTGTTTGTTTATTTATTTATTTATTTATTTATTTATTTATTTATTATATGGCCTATAGGGCTACCAGTCTGATAAGCAAACGACGAGTGGGATCTTCATGAGTATACAATAATCTGCATCCTTGGCGAGGATCATCATCATCAAACTTAATCTATGTTCAATTGTCCATTAGCGGCCAAAGATGACCAAGGAACAGCAGTAACCAAAGGCACAAAAGGAAGAAGATATACCGAAATGTTTTAGGGAAAGTTCCCGTAATAGGACTAAAACAGTTTGAAAATTCCAAAATAGGACTCTCATGTTTTTTATTTCCAAAATAGGAGTAATTACTGCCAAGTTTGGAAAATACTGCCATGTTTGAAGTCTAGTACTACCAAAACATGGCTGTAATTAGTCCTATTTTGGGAATAAAAATATGACAATCCTATTTTGGAATTTTCAAACCTTTTTAATCCTATTTAGGGTAATATTCTTAATGTTTTATGATATATAAATGTAATCTTTGTCCACTTCTTGAGTTCATGATATTGATATTGTAGTCATTTTGATGAATATAATACACATGAGTTAGTCACATAATTTCCATATATTAGATATGATTGTATATATTTTAATTTGATCAGATGTCATTTATTTACACCTTTTAATATCATTTATTTATTTACACTTGAAAAATGATAACAGCTCAATCACCTCATATATTAGATCAATCAATCCGTAATGCTATGGGAGTACCAAAATGAAACAAATCCATGAAAATGGACAAGAATATTGAATAATACTAGTAAAAGAGATGACACCAAAATTGGTTACTATCTATAAGCCCAATTACTTCCTTTCCTATTTTAGTACTCTTTTGAGCAAGAATCTGCTGGCCTTGCTAGACACAAAAATCCATGGAATAATCCCAACCTGCAGTTGAGAATGTTGATTAAATGACATTTAAAAAACTAGAACCTTTTTTTACAACTCATAAAAAGTGTCCAAAAATAAAATTGTTTTAATCTTGGAGCTCCAATATAAAGCATATAATACGTGAAGACATATAACTTTAGAATATAAATTTTGACCAAATAAGTACCATGGTATAGTTGTTTGTTTGGCCTCCAGCTAGCCAAGATAAAACATTACCTGCCATAACAAGCATGTCAAAAAAGTATGACCATTCAAAGGGTGACAAACCCACACACATATTCATATATATATTCATATATATATATATATATATATATATATATATATATATATATATATATATATATATATATATATATATATATATATATAAAATGATAGGATTTATGATTGCATTGTTACTACCTATCGATTAGCCAATCTAACCTAGATCTCATAATCTCATCTCGCTTTACAATGAAGTTATGAAGCTTCGAGTTAATAAATAGTATAGTATATAAGGCGAGGAAAATAATACTCTTCTCCGTCCATCCAAACGAAAACAAAATAAGTCTTGTTTATAGAATATATTTCATAATAATTACATCTGGGAAGTAAAAAGGGACTCAATCAAAATTCACTACCAAAAGGTTGTATAAGCTCATTGGATATAGAACCCACAGGAACATGCCAAAACCATAGAACTAGTACAAGGTATGTGAAGGCCTGCACGACAATAGATTGATTAGTACTATTTTTGTACATAATTTGAAACATGCGCGACTGTGCCAAGGATCAAATTATACATCCATTCATTAACCAATAATACCTTCAACATTAATAAGCCTTTTGCATACATATGAAATGAAAAACTTAACTCCTTACTGTGCATTTCTATGCCTGCACAATAATGCCGATAGCATTAGCTGTAATAAGTGGTCAATTTAATATTGAGAATATTAGCAATATAATAAGTTGCTTGCAAATTTGCAATTTATTACTCCTCCCAAAGTCGTGGCTGTAAAAAGTGTCATATTGGCGTGATTTTTTTTACAATACTAGTAGTTCTACGAAAACAAAAGCGGGAAACCTAGTACACATTGACAAGTGGCTACTCACAAGACTTGAACATGTGACCTCTCAGTCAAATAGACACACCTTAACTGGTTAATCAAGGCTTCCCTTCAATTCACAAAAAATGTTTAATTTTATCATTTCATTTTTCCTTCTTTAAGACCTTAATGCAATCCCATAAAAATTAAAATTTGTATTAATGCAATATTTTAACGTTTTTCTCGGTTTCATAACTCTTTCAATTGTGCAATTCTTCCAAATTGACATCCATTATGAAGAAAAACGATTATAAAAAAGTAGTGGCATCATCATTTCTGAAATTTCAAGAAATTCACCAAAGAATGTATATGTCAAATAGAGGAGTGCTACTTAGGGCTCCTTTAGTAAGGGATAATAGGCTGAAATAGTCGAAATTTCTTAAAGGGGGGACTTGACTTTGTACTCCATTTTTAGGGGATATTTGACTTAGCACCCTATTTTCAAAATCATTAATGTCTGCACCCTATCATTGTAAAACTATTTGACTTTGCACCCCATTCCTTTATAGTTTTTGGGCTAATGGGGTGCACACATTAATGATTTTGAAAATGAGGTTCAAGATCCTATATCACCCAAAACATGACGTGCAAAGTCAAATTTACCATTGGTAAAATATATTTCCACCAAAAAAGTAACTCAAAAGCTACTTATCCTAATTGGTATGCTTCTAACCAGAATAAGTCAGATTAGGCTAACAAACGTATCCTAATGAGTATATACTTTTTGCAAGCTCTTTCTCTTTGGTAGCTGCCATTCTTCTCATCTTTGCGGCCTGTGCAAATGTAGAAGGCCTGAAATAAAGAGGAAAAAATATTTGATTGGTATATACCATACATGAGATGCAACCGTTTATGATAATAATCAAATGTATTGCAGAATTGTTCTCTCAAAGTGATTTCTTTCTCAATCCATAAAGATTGTGGATCCTACTAGCTTAAATGCACCCTTTGATATTAAAATCTACACATGGTCACATGGATTTGTAGAACCTATAATTACTACTGGTATAACATTCTATGTAGGGAGAAGTCCAACCCCCTCCAAGATTTAGACTCATTAAAACAAATTGATGAGCTTAATTATTAGACTTTGATTTCATGAGTCTTATTCTAACATATGGTTGTTTGGATGGAGCCACAGAGGGTCTTAACATCACATGAGACAAGTTGTTATTTTATTTACATGGAGAACTCCAAATTCTATTTAGAAATTCTCCAAAAATTGGATGACATAAGTTCTCCAAGGTGAACCTATGTTTTGCCAAAAACGAGGTTTTTGGAATAACATAGAATCAACCTAAACCAAACGACACATGAAATGTCAGGGAGTAGCACAAGGCATCATATATATAGGTTTACATTTTTCTATATTGGCTGAATGCTGTTAATTTAATGAGAATCATAAACAAAAAATAGTTCAAAGATTTCTCACTGTGATAAAGCAGCGGCCTCCTTTAAGAGCCCCTTGATTTCCGCCTTTAGTCGTACATCGTCCGTAGACATGGTTGCTCTCTAGAAAAACTCTCACATGAATGGGAAACCAATAAAACATAGTCCGTTTTCATTCATTCTTAACATCTAAATCAAGTTTAAGGAAATCCGTCTAGTTTGAGAAAATTCATAACTTCATACGGCCACCCGAAAAGGAAACAAAAACTCCGTGAATATGTGTAAGATATATTCAAAAAAAATTATGCATGAGATCATTTAAAGGGAAACAAAATGAAACACCTTCTTATTAACCTCCAAATAGCGAGTGAGATATTGAAAAATTGAAACCAGGAAGAATATCAATGGAGCACCCATTGATATGTCATGTTTTTCCATACATTCTTTCATATTTTCTAAAATTATTGGAATTTAATTTTTGTTGTAGAAGATTTGTCGCTACCATGAGAGTTTGAATATCGTGTGGCATTGCACTATTGAGTAAATATAAAAGAAAACATTTATGGTGCATATGCATTGGGGAATGTTTTGGTGCATCTCACACTTGGCACCATCTCATTAGTAATTTGATTTAGCTCATCTTTTTACTAAAAATACGTTTAATATTGCTAACAAGTCCTTCCCAACCAATTTTTTCATTTTTCTTTTACTAAAGCAAAGAAGTTGCGCCGGTTCCTTCATATCATTCACCATCTAAGAAAGAGAAGAAGCCAAAGCGAGTGAATCAAAAGGCCGACATCGCAATCCTCAAGGTCGGTGTCTTCATCCAAAAGGTCGCAGATCTTCAGAACAACTGTAGGTAAGTTTCATCATTTCTAATTTGTTAACTTTTCACTAATTATGATAGAATTCTTCTATTAAAGGTGTTTTCGTAATTTGGGTTTCTCAAATTAATTTGGTCATTTCAAGTCTTGTATCAAAGAACATCCCCACTTCAGAGTGCACAATGAATTCCTTTTCACTCGTGGCCCTTTCCCGTCACTTATCCTGGGAAAACAACCAAAATTTGTATAAAATTGAGCAGATAGTTGGGGACTTGAACCAATTTGGGAGTTACCTAATTAGTTGTGAAAGGGAAAGCAGAAAGCGGAAGGGAAGACATGAATATAAATGGGAGTATAGTGTGTACAAGTGTGAATGAAAGAATATGAAATGTTTAATAAGAGTATATGAGAAAACATACTACGCAACAATGATGCATAACTTTACTTCGAATTGATAATAATAATAATTATAATAATATTAAAGGAAAACTATTGTTAATAAGGAATTACTTTCTTTGCTTGTTGTTTTCCTCCTTTCTTCTTGAACTTCTCAAAACCGGTTACCGCGCCGTATTACCTCTTGGGTTTATACTACATTACTAATTTACTATGATTATGCACATGTATTCTGCTCATGAGTTAATATTATGTCTCTTGCTAATGTTCAAATTAGTTATACTTTTATTTGGACTAATTTTGGTTTTTACTATGTTTGTCTAATGACTTATAGTATTCATGTTGTTATATATACTATGTATGTGTGTAGTTGTATATTGTATATAATGTATAATATGTACCGAGTATGTTATATATATGATACAGTTCTGTATCATTTGAAGCTATGTACAATTGTATATGATCATTATCTTTATTGCATTAATTACGAATATGGTTGTTGAAGGCTTGAAGCGTTGATGGTTGATGTATGTATGGAATATGTGCATGGTTCCTTATCACCCGAAGCTACACATTCATGTATTACAAGCTATATATTATCATATTATGTGTGTAGTATTTATGTGCATACTCTATATCATGTATAGCATGTGTAATATGTATACCGAGCTATGTATTATAGTATTAGTTTTATCACTTTTATGTTTTATGTTAGTTTTATTACTTTTAGTATGATGCTATATATGTTTTCGAGTTTTACATTTATGTTTGTTTTTTGTTTGACTAATGCTTTTTTGCTTAGTTTGACAACTATTTAATTAGTAAAAATGAGTGAGGATGAGTTCCATTGTTATTGGAGTTAGACGAGGCAAATCAGTGTGATTACTAGAGGTGAATGTGGAGTGGGATGGTGGGATGACAATGACTATCAGTGAATAGATCATAATAAAAATCACAAAGGTTTCATTTTTCAAGCTTGAGGGTCAATCATCATACTTGAGAAAGATGCTAGCTAGATTAAGGATGGCTGGGACGAATAAACAAATCTAGTAATACAAAGCAAGAATGCTAGTTATGCACAATGAGAAAATAAAGAGGCAATTGTATCATTCATAAAGACAACTTATAGCAATGTCAAACACTCTTTATGTTTATTTTATTAGTTACATTTATTAATTGTCTCACTTTTCCTAATGTTATTAGTTAATATCAATTATTAACTAATGCTATTAGTTAATATTTATTGCTAACTAATAATCCAACTTATTTTACTAATGATATTAGTTCGTATTAAGTATTAATTAATTTAGTTTTAGGAAAAACTGTAAGTTGTGTTACATTATTAATTGTCTATTTTTTTGGTGTTTTCTTTGTTCTGGACTTCGGGAATAACGCTCTAGTAATATGATTATATATGACACATAACCAAGGGGTCCCAATCACTCCTCTTGATCATTAATATTTGCTTTTAATATGTCAAAATTAATCACTATTAACTTGTTCAATCCAACACTATAATATGCGGGATTCTAACCCGTTCTAAGTACACAACCGCGCCACTATGAATATAATTAGTTGGTCACTTACAAATTACACTATAATGGGACATTTATCACAGTTGTCATCAATAATAGGAGTCTTAAATGCCCATTGTCGTTTAGTTATGTTGTTGAAGCTATTGAGGGACCTTTACAGCAGGTCAAAAGCAACTCTAATACATCGGTGGAATTCAAAGATGTGTTGAAGTCACTTCTCTAGGTTATAATACACATACGATAAGAATCATAGATTTATAACATATTTCTGACATGGAACATTAACATCATGCAATTCTTTATTCTTAAGAGTACATAAATTACCAATTAAATCATTGCTACTTGCACTACATACAAATAAATGTAAAAGTTAATCATTCCATGTATGTGTATAAGGTTATTGGAGGACTTGTGTCGAATTAACATATTTTAAAGATCTATAATTAGTTTATTTTCTACGTATAGGTTCATATCTAATTCGTTTTAGTGGATGTTGATTACATTCGATCTGGATTTGGTAGATTCATAGTCATCCTACATGAGATTCACAATTTGTCCATATTGTGTCAATGTTCGAAAAAACTTCCATAGAATCTGCAAAAACAGCGTAGTCTTGGTGATCATCATAAGCTACCCATGATATATAACAATCTCTTCCCCATTTATAAAGTTGGGAACAACACATTGCAGATGGGGTTTTTGTTGGTACTGATGTATGGCCATCTTGTTGTACAAGTGCAAGAATGTGTTTTCTACATTCATTACAAGGTGGTGGACTCTTTGAGCACTTGGGTAAACTTTTCACATATTCAAGATCACCTGGGTCTTCGGTATCAATTTTAGCAATTGACAGTCTAACATTTCTTGTTGTTGTTATCAATGCTAAAATATAAAATATATTAAGTAATTGCATTGCCCCCTTCAAATCTTTTGTTGTATAGAATTACAATCAGTTCATTATTACAATGTGACTAATATATATACACACACATGTATGTATAAATATATAAACACATACATGCACTCACACAAGCTCAAAATAGTAAGATAAATAATACATGCATTGCAAACCGTTATAGGTAATAAATTTATTTTTAATTTAACATATATGTGATACATAATTAATACATGCATTAATTTAATATTAATTATGCGCTCATACATCTATGTGATGTATTCATGTCGAATTTGATACAAAAATTGAAACATATTGATGTCAAATTATATATGTGGTAACACAAATATTATATTGCACTCTGGTTACACTAAATTTAGAGAAATTGTTGTAAGTAGAAGTAAACAATTCAAATTTTGGAATTGCAAAATAAAATCGATATGCTTTTCTTCCTTAAATAGGAGTCCTGGCATGATTTAGAAGTAAGTACTGATATTAATGGCTGTAGATACTCCCATGTGAATGTTTTGTATTGCAACTATGACGATAATGACTCTAAGATGGCAAAAAATACTGCCATGTTACTCCTTTTTCAGAAAGAAAAACATAGCAATCATATTTTAAAATTCCAAAACATGTTTACTTAGATTTCAGAAACTTTCCCCTAATTTTGGAGCCTGTTTGGTAATGCTCAAATCGGTTGCATTGGCAAATTCTGTTGAAATTTATGAAGTTTTAATTGAAGTGACTATATTGAAATTTATGAAAAACATTATATTTAAAGGGAAAAGGGTCAAATAGGCCCTCGAACTTACATAAAAGGTCAAATAAGCCCTTACATTAGTTACATAGGAGGCTCTGTCCGGCCGTCGCCATTTGGGGCAGTTCCAGTTGAATTTTTTGTTGAAATTTTTTTAGCATCTTATTCATTAAGTCTAGTTTACTCATACCAAATTTCAGCTAACAATTCAATCGGGAAGGCATCCAAATTCTCCCGCTCAATTGCTAGCCGACTTATCTTATAACTAAAAGCACTACATAAGTACATATGAGAGACAGAATTCTTGCGCTCGATTGTTAGCAACCTCATCTTCTAATACCTAAAAGCACTACATATGAGAGAGAAACTTTCCCCGATCAATTGTTAGCAAGGTTGTTTTCTACTATGAGAGAGACCCCCCCCTCAATTATTAACAAGTTTATCTTCTTATATATAAAAGCACTACATATGAGAGATAAAATTCTCTTGATTGTACTTATCTTATATCTAAAAGAATTATATATGACAATAATATCATATATTAGACATATTTTTCATTTATAATTTTATTTAGAGTTAGTTTGGTAACACATAAATTGGCAAAATATACTGAAATTGACATTTTAAAACCGTTATCTATTTTACATTGACAATATTGTCATACACTGAACATCTTTTTCATTTAGAATGTTATTTAGAGTGTGTTTGCCAACACATGAATGGCTAAATATATTGAAATTGATGAAATTCTTGTTGAAACCGATGAACTGGCCGAATATACAGAATTATGGGAAAATTAAATTTAGAATATATTTTATTCAAAAAAATAAACATTAATTTGAAAAAGTAGCTAACTAATGAATAATAAATTGAACAAAATTTTGAAGTTTTATTTTTATTAGCACTCAATGTTATTATCATTTTCATTTGCTAATTTTATATTCTCGAGTGACATTATAATAGGAAGGAATAAGGTTTGTCACAGTTGAACGAAGGGAGTAAAATACAAAAAATGAAAATAGCATTAGATTTTTATTACTCATAGGATTGATAAATTCAAAATACTCATAGTCTTCAATTTAGACCAACTCAAAACAAAACCAAATAGACCAACTCGAAGTTTTTTTTTTATTAGAACTAATTAGATTTTCATTTGCGATATTTTATACATCAAACCAGTGCACATCAAATCACGAAACACTTTAAGAAAGTTTTCTTAAATAAATTTAGAGACCGTTTGACAACCCTGTTTTTCGGCTTATTAGGTTTATCAACCAACTTTTTCACCAAACACATACTTCGTAACTTTTACTTTCGCGCGCTGGATTGTGTAATAAGCAGAAAAAGTAAGGTTAGAGTTACTTTTCTGGCTGTATCGGCTGAAGTTAGGCCATGTTTGGCACACAAAAGTATCTGCCTTCTAGCTTCTCTTTTCTTTAAAAAGACCTTAAAAGACTCTAGTTATATGTTTGGCATGACATTTTTTAAGAGCTTTTCAAATATTAAAAGATCTTTTTTGAGATGCTACCGGGTGTAGCATCTGAGAAAAGCTCGTGACTTTTAGTATTAATTGGTCCTAACAGCTTGTATACCAAACCGAACTAAATCAAACAGTCAGCTTTTTACCAAACAGCTATCACCTTTTCTTTTTAAGATCTTTTCAGTCACTAAAAACTAACAGTTACTAAAAAGCTCACAAAAGTATCTTTTCAGCTAGTTGTGCAAAACATACCCTTAATGTAGATGGCCATTTTAGCTATTTTACATATAATTTTTTCTTTATTTTATTAATAAAATATATTTTTAAAATGTTTTTTTCTTAAATAAGCAGAATCAGCTAATGCAACCACTTCAGCCAAAACATCATAAATTTCAGCAGAATCAGCCAAAACAGCCGATTTTCATGCTACCAAACGGGCTCTCAATATTTTATATTTTTCCTTTCATGGGCTGATTTTGATTTTAGAGACCGTTTAGTAGTACTGAAATTGGTTAAATCTGTTGAAATGGATGAAATTTTGAGAAAAGTGATTGAATTAGTTGAATCTATTGATTTATGGATAAATTTATTTTAAAATAATTTTATTAATGAAATAAAGAAAAATATTATATGAAAAGTAGCTAAAATGATTACATACACTAACTTACCCTATTCAGGCAGCAAAATAGATCATAAATTGAATATAGATCATTTTAAGCAAAATTATAGAGATCGTTAATAAATTATATTTGTATATATTCAATATTGATCTCATATGAAAGATTCCAAAAAATTATGAAATTTGATATATTTTTTGTAAACATTGGAATAAAAATGAAAAAGTTATACTATCTTCGTCCCTTCTAAGTTTGAGACAAGAGAATGTGACACAGTTATTAATAAAAGTGGGTTTATGTGGTTGATATTGAATTGATAAAGTAAGAATAAAAGAATGATTTAGAACCACACAAATTTTACCAAATAAGATATGAGACAATCTTAATGGGACAGACCGAAAAGTAAAAAGGGACAATCATAGCGAGACGGATGGAGTAATACTTTAAAGAAAAATGGGATTTTCATAGGTTGGGCCCACCAATCTCCTATAGTTGCTCCCTTCCATTTCAATTGGAGAGTTTGGTATTTTGAAGTGCAAATGGCCACGTGTCATTGCTATAGTTAAAGAGTGAATTAAGGAGAGCTAGACACATAAAATTCATTAAAGGTAAAATTGTATTTTTTTGGCAAAAATACAATCTTTTTTGGTAAAAATCTATTTTTATGAGTTATTTTTTTCTTATATATAAATAGATAATGTTTGGCAAATAAGTACACTAGCTGCCCCTCAGAGCAGTATTGTTAGGTACTACATAACCAGAAATGTAAACAATTATACTGAAAAAATACGTAATGCCAAGTACATATACTCCGAAAATAGATTAATACAATTGCGATTCATCGTTTAAGCCGCCATGCCACTTCGTAGACTTGTTCTTAAGATGGGCATTGGTAGGGACCTGGATTCTTGTCTATTATCTGAACACTTTTCCTTCCAAAGTACCAATCACCGAATAAGCCTGCTAAAGTCTGGATGGTATTTAAAACAATGAGGTAGAATTAGAACCTATAGAATTTTATATAAAAATATCTCCTTTAACTTTCCTTCAAAATTTTAAATGATACAAGTAAATTAAATATCGACAAAGTTCACCAATGACTAATTATATTTTATTTATTGGGTTTAATTGTATGTTATATGTTATCTTATATTTAGGCCCAAAAATTAGTGGTCCTATGGATATTAATTTAAGTAGGCTAATAAGTTATTTAGTAAGGTATAGAGCCCAAATGTGTAGAAATCCATGAGCTTAACCTAATTAATTATGAGTTGATTAGGGTTAAACATTCTCAATAAATAGAGAGATTATGGTCCCTAGTTAAACACGTCATTCCGTCTTTAATTTCTGCATCCCAGAGAGAATTCCCAAGAGTGTGTATCAACTAGAAGACACAAACTCTAGCCTCCGTCTCCCGGATCTCTAAAGATCATCTCCTATTGAGTCAGGTACGCTTCCGCTAAGTTATTTCTCTAGATAATTCCAATATGAAAGATTAAAGTATTATCGGATTTATTCCAACCTCCTTAACTTATTAGAATATTCCTTTTGAAATTGGTAATTTTATTCTAGTACATCCAAATAAGAAAGTGGATCCTTATTTTCGGAAATAGTTTCCTAAACATAAGATATAGAAATGTTTATATATGCATGTTGCCAACGTACATACGTACCTCATTAGTCTGTGCAGCAGGGAAAGTGTTCCAACTAGACTGATCTGCTTGAGTATGAGCAAATGGAGCTGTGATGAGATATCCTTTGTTTTGCTTTGGTAGCACAGTTAGAAGCTCCGACTCAAGTTCTTTGATATGGTTTAAACATTAAATTAATTATATGTACATTAATTATCATCAATATAATGGAACTAACATGAAATTAATCATATAATAATGGACATTTTTTTTTTAGAGAGAATTGCTATTGCAAACCACGTGACGCTTCAATTTGGTTGGACGTGCAATTCTTGGCAGGTACGCAACCAGCAAGATCGATAGACAATGTATACAAAATCTGTAATATGGTTAAATGGATATAGGTGCAAATTAAACAATCGAGTAGTTTATTTTGTAAGCAAAATAACATAACAGTTAAATTTACTACATTAGATTTTATTCATGAAGGTTTAAAAGATGCCAATAATGCAAAGCATTTTACGAAATTAAATGTTATCATGAATAACACATTACTAATTATTCGTTACATCTTACATGTAACATAAAGTACGTACTATTAACAAAACATTCATGCTCCAAATTAAGTGTGCACACTGATTGTTTACAATAGGTTAATGTGACCTCTAGCCAATTAATTCGTAATCGTTTCCTTTTCATTATTATCTCTATTCATCAGCTCCGATCCGATCCTAAGGGCAACTCCAATGCTGGGGTGGATTGTAATTCCACCTCAGCAAATGCACTTCTTGAATTAAAATGTACTCCCTCCGTCCCCTTTTAAATGGGACGGGAGATAGTGGCACGAGTTTTAAGAAAAGTGAGTTTGTGTAGTTGATATTAATTGATAAAGTAAGAATAAAGTAAGAATGATTTTGAGCCACACAAAGTTTACCAAATAAGGTATGAGGCAATTAAATAGGAACATCCCAATATGGTAAAACGAGACATTTAAAAGGGGACGGATGGAGTATAGAATAGCAAACTCCAATGCAAAATAGAATAGAGCTAGTGTAGGTGATGTCACATTAAATAAAATGGATTGCACTCTTGCAGAAGGTCCATGTATGGACCGAAGGTGCCACCTTCTGACAAAATCAAGGGATAAAATGTGGGCCTATCTTCATGGAGAGCCTCTCCTTTAATTTACTCCTTGTTTTCAATTTTTTGGTTTTGTCTTTTTAATTGCTTAAATTTGCTTGGTATGTTCCGCAATGGAGAGTATTCTATGGATCAGCTCTTTTTTTAAATTTTGGACCCACTTTTTTAAATAGACCCGAACCAAATTTATGCCACCTCACCTCCAATGCACCAAGAGCATTGGAGATGCTCAAAGGCATGCAATTAAGCTAATTAAGAGATTACATTGTTAAACGTGAGAGTTAATGTATCACAACAATTAAATTAAGGGAAAATGGAAACTAATAATCCAACCTTTTAGCGATCTTCTTACAATAATCCAACCTTTTGGTTATTCATGAATAATCCAACCTTTGCACCTCATCTTCATTCACTGGTCCCTGACCGGTTGATGACCTGCTATTCCAAGCTATTTTCTTATTTTTGCAAATCATTATACCATAAATCTCATCTTTCACAAAGATAATATGTTGCAATGATAAGAAAATAACTTGGAATAGTAGGTCATTAACCGACCAGGGACCAATGAATGAAGATGAGGTGCAAAGGTTGAATTATTCATGAATAATCAAAAGGTGGGATTATTGAAAGAAGACTGCTAAAAGGTTGGATTATTAGTTTCCATTTTCCCTTAAATTAAATTAAAGAATTATACATGCAAATAATTTGGTTCCATATATTCGCAAACAAGTGTCAAACCTGAACTCTGTCAAAAGCTGACATTAAGAAGAACATCGGTGTTTTGATGTCCTTCTCCAAATTTGGGGGAAAGAAACACTGCAAAATCAGAAAATCAGGTGTTACATGTTTTCCATAAGTAAATTCGAATGCATAGAATCTATGTAAGATGACATGACTTACCAATTCTGCACTACTTAATCTTTTTGTACAAGATTTCGGCAGCACACTTCTTGATTTCTGTATAGATAAAAAACTATAAATTTCAGGATATAAATTAGGGTAATTGATCAAAGTTGGTAGCTTTTTTATCCAAATTTGATTTGGCATGGCAACTTAGAAATGATTATAGTTTTATTGTGATTGCATAAAAAAAATTAAGAATATCATGTCTATCTCATGTGTTTGATTAGTCCAAATTATTATATCATCATTTATTTATGTTTAAATTATAAACAAACAGAATTATAAATATGTATAAATTTAGAGCTCGTTTTGTAGCACGAAAATCGGCTGATTTGGCTGATTCTGCTGAAATTTATGAAGTTTTGGCTGAAGTGGCTGCATTGGCTAATTCTGCTGATTTAAGAAAAAAAATTCTAAAATATATTTAAATAATAAAATAAAGAAAAAATTATATGAAAAAATAGCTAAAATGATCATCTACAGTAACTTCAACCAATAAAGTCAGAAAAGTAACTACATCCTTACTTTTTCTGCTTATTACACAATTCAGCACACGAAAGCAAAAATTACGTGTTTGGTGAAAAGTTGGCTGATAAGCCAAAAAACAGTGTTGTCAATCCAAACGGCTTCTTAATATTTTCAAAATGAAGTGTGAACTCCTGTCCTACATAAAAAATAAACACAGCCAACGAATAAAATGACTAAAAAAAAGTGCATGTGCGGCAGTGTGTCGCATAGAGCATTTATAAGAGTAATCGAGGAGTCCTATACGTACATGTAGTTTGACCAAGCCCTTAAACATTAATAGAAATGTGTTCTCTTCAGAGTGATTCCTCCTGTTGAAATATTACAAGTCTTGAATCAGTATTAACAATAGGTCTTATAGTTCGCCATATACTTCGTATATAACAACATTGGGCATTTTGGAGTATATTTAACTTACGGAAGAAAAAAATAGGCACCATCCGAGAAACACTTTACTGTAGAAGTGGATGGAAAGTAGCTTCGGAATCTATCACAGTAAATAGTTGTGGCTACTCCACCCGCTGAACTGCCAGCTAATAGAGCCTACAAAGAAATTGCATGAACTTTTGATATTCTACTCAAAATTGTTTACACATCGATTACATACATTCTTCAATGAGAGCTGTCTTTGGTGTATACATTTTTGTACACAGTACACTTGATACACAAAATTAAAACTGCATATATATGTACACCAGTAAAACGAGGGATATACACAAAAACTGTATAAAAAATTGTGCAAACATCTTTAATCTTTTCCTTATTCAATACACCCAAAAAAGAGATACCGAGTAGCATATAAGTCGATCTGGTCTCAAATGTTTACTACGTACTCTAGTTTGGTGGTGTGTTTAAACATGGTTTGATTGGTTCTTGTAAGGATCGTTTCCGTCTCCGGCTCAGGTCTCCAACCTTCTATACTAAACTCACATACACCACTCTAGGGCTAGGTCTCAAGAATAAAACACTGAACCGGACCATTCATCTTGGGCTTATTTTGCTTATTGGATCATTTTGTACTTCTAGATTAAATTAGTTTGTAGTCTTGTAGCCCTTTAATATAAAAAGGGTATTGTAACCCTACAGATGTATCGAGACTCTCATTATTCATTTTTAGATTTCATCTTCTTCATTCACTCAAACTGCTCTGCACTCTGATTCAATACTTTCACATGGTATCAGATTAAGGTTTGATCCTTACTGATTCTCTTGATTCGTTCTCCTGAATCGATTTCTATAATCGATTGTTTTTACTGCTTTCATTCTTCTATTCGATCAATTTCTTTCTAAAAACCCTAGCATCAATGGCTCTGCCGCTGAATCCAATCGAAGATCCTTCGTCGCCGTACTATCTTCATCCCAGTGATCACGCTGGACTTCGAATCATCTATGAAACGTTTTCAGGAGAGAACTTCAGCGCTTGGAAGAAGTCAGTATCTATGGCTATGGAGGTGAAGAACAAAATGGGGTTTCTCGATGGATCAATCAAGAAACCAAGTTCAGATGATGCTCTATACTTTACCTGGTATCGTATCAACGCTCTTCTCTTATCTTGGTTGATTTACTCCATTTCTCCCAATATCCGCACTACGTTTCTTTATTTTACCAATGCTAAGGAACTTTGGGATGAAGTTCAACTTAGATATGGTAAAAGTGACGGTCCTAGACTTTTTCAACTCGAAAAAACCCTAGGAAATCTTTCTCAAGGCTCTCGCAATATAACCGATTACTATAACTCCTTCAAAGAGCTTTGGGATGAATACTCTAATTTCAGAATCATTCCTTCTTGCACTTGTGGTAATTGCACTTGCAATATCTCTGAAATCTATCAAAAACTAATTGAGAAAGAATCTATTCTAAAATTTCTTGTTGGATTGAATGAATCTTATGCTCATCTGAGAAGTCAAATTCTTCTTAACACTGAAAAAGCCACTTTATCGAGTATCTACTCTATCTTCTTGCAAGAAGAGTCTCAAAGGTCTCTCCAATACTGTGTTCCATCCACTACTTCCTTTTCAGAGCCTTCTGCTTCTGAAAAGATCAATAATGATGCTACTGCTTTTCTTGTTAAAAATTTCAAGAAAAAGAACTCTGTTACTTGTACTCACTGTGGCTATCAAGGGCACTCTTCTGAGAAATGCTTTCAACTCATTAGTTATCCTGACAACTGGAAAGGTCCAAAAGGGCATAGAGTTGCTCCTGGCTTCAAACCTCACTCTAGCTCAAATAGAAGCCATCAAGCTCATATGGTGACAAATAATACAGACTCCACTCCTGCTCCTATCAGCTCAACTGCTGCAACTGACTTCTGTGATCCTAATCTTTATGAAAAGTTTCTTCAGTTCATGCAAAGTCAACAATCTAAAATTGCCTCTGCTAATGTAGTCATCACTGCTCCAAATGATGATTCTACTACTTCTCAAAATAACATCAACTTTTTAGGTAACAACTTTGCTTTTTCAACTTTTTCACACTAGGCCACTCCATCTCCCATGTTTACTCACTCTTCTTCACTCCACTAAGGAACTCTCACACAAAGGGAAAGAAAGAAAGAAGGAAGACACTGCACAAGGATTTTTCTCGCAGGCTTATCTCACAAAGAAGGAAAGGAGCTGACTTTATAATAGGCAGGCAGCCTATTGAGAAGTCACGGGCAAACGACAGGACAATCACGGGTATGTCACAGGTCTATCACGGGTATAAGCCAAGGCAATCAAAAGGGAGCAGTGGACAGAAGCAATGAGGCATACTCCAGATAAGTCAACAGGCCACCAATGAGTGATTTCAACTCAGGGAATCAAAGTGGGAGTAAACATGGGGTGCAAGCCTAAATAATAAAGTGGATGAGAGACATTGGTAGGACCAATACCTCCAACAGTTCTGATCTCGTTTGCGACTAAATCACTACCAGGAAAAGATGGTAAATAGAGATAGTAACGAACTAATGAAGTACTAGCTAGTACGTCGTCCATTTAAAAGCATACACTTTTTGCACTTTTCATTCCTTTGTGCAACAGCTCTTTCATCACAGCTCTGAAGATTCTTTTCCCCTTAAAGTATAGCTTAGTACCCTGAAAGAGATTTCAACTAATATCAGTACATATTGTGTATACAGTATACGACGGAGTATGGGAAAACTAATTAAAATACCCCAAACTTTGAAGAGGTGTGAGGTAAGCACCCCAAACTTGCATATGTAATTTAAAAACCCTAAACTTTATATAAAAAGTTGTTTTAGCACCATGATCTTTTATTATTTCTTTCAAAAATGCTAATTTTTTGTGTTAATTTCATAATTTACAATATTTTAGCATTCATGAAGATACAATTAACATTTGTAAACTTCCATTGTAAAATAAATAGTATTATCCTCCACTCAATATGATTGCAACGTTTTCACTTTGCTATTTTAAATTATGCAATTAACACCATAAGTTTACATTTTTGAAAGATATAATACATGATCATGGTGTTAAAATAACTTTTCATATAAAGTTTGGGATATTTAAATTACATATGAAAGTTTGGGGTGTTTATCTCACACCCCTTCAAAGTTTGGGGTATTTTAATTATTTTTCCCGAGTATATACTTCGATGTAAATTGTAATGATGTGGCAAAGAACAGAAGTACTCCGTAGTACAGTAGTTTAAATCATTAATCTACATATAACATATTTGCAAAAAAGAAGAAAAAAACAGGTACCATATTTGCATAACGAATTCCACCAACACACACAATAATCAATCAACATATTGTAATTGATGAATAATGCCAAGCTCGTTTCCATTTATGATTCTGAGAAAGTTTGGGAAATGAATGTAGTAGAAGTCGCGTGTTTAATAAGCATTTAAGGTATTATTAATACTATTATTATTATCATTAATTTATTACGGAGTATTTCATTATTATTACAGAGTACTGTAACGAATAACTTTAACGTAAATATGTGGTGCTAATTCTAAATGAAAAAAGGGTAATTGAATTGCGCGCTACTAGTATAATCTTACATTTGCTGTTAATGCCTGAGAGTTGCTCGTCCAGGATGACGCATCACAATACCGGACGAAAACGCGGTTCCAGTCATAAAAGCCTGCACATTATTGGAGTTTTTTTTTTTCCATAAAACAAATTAAAGCCTTATCAACTAGCTTAGGGAAGACTGATCGAAAACAGATCGAATTGAGAGAAATCATTTAGCAAATTAATTAAAACCGCACGGACGATAATATTAATGGTCGAGGAATAATTAATGGTGTCATTACCAGGATTTGTTTCATTATTAGGGCTCAAAATACCGATATCATCAAAATTCAATGCTCCTGGGTCTGAACCTACGCCTTTGTGTGCAATATAGGCTTCGCAGTCACTGACATTTCTGCACCATCCGCCCCCCTACAATTTAACGATATACTCCGTATATTTATATTTCTATGTTGAATTTTATACTATTTATATGTTCTACTTTGACTACATTTTACGGTATTATTTTACGAAAATTATTATTTTTAAAAAAATATTGTTTAATTCATCTCATTACAAATTTTAAAAATCTGATTATTTATTTATTTTTTATTAATAGAGGTTAAGATATAATTACGGTCAAAGACGTGTGTTGGCAAGTGTGAAACTTCAATTTTTTTAGTTACAACACTTGTATTTTTTTGGTAGTTTCAAAAAAATTGCAACATTTCCCTTTAAGGCAATCTTTTTCTTCTATCTTTCTTTATTTTCATTTCTCTTGGATTTGTTACAAGTTTCTCACCATCGATCCTACTTATGTTTTCCTTTCAAAGAAACATGGCTTCTTCTTTTTTCTTCACTCTGTTGCTTTTGCCAATTTAAAAATTGAAGAAGAAGATTCGAAGAGCAAAGAGGTAAACAAGCTTCTTCCTGTGAGTGCATTTCAAGATTTGACTGGAAGGAATAGGTAAATCCGGAAATTACTTATCAAGTAGTTCCAATGAAAGAAGCTAGCTGAATGTCACGGACTTGTTCTAGCCTAGAAGAGCAAAAAAAATTGGAGAGTTTATTTGTCCGAGAAATGAAAGAAATTAAGGACGGATGCGTATGGCTGTTCTAGCCTTCGTCGCAAATGATAGAACCATTCCAGCCAAAAAATGGAAAGTAATCAAGGAGAAGACGGAGGAGTTGGTTGGAGGTCCTCTTTCCGATTGTACTCCTGTCGTACAGGGGCAGCAGTGTAAATTATTTTCTTTAGATGTACTACCTTCGTCCCACTAAGATTGGGATGGAAAAAGGTGACACGATTAATAAGAAAAGTGAATTTGTGTGGTTGATATTAAATTGATAAAGTAAGAATGGTTTATAGCCACACAATCTTTACCAAATTTGGTATGAGACAATCTTAGTGGGACTTCCCGAAAAGGTAAAATGGGACAATCTTAACGGGACGGAAGAAGTATACCTTAATATGTGTGCCCAACCTCCATGTTGAAATTAATTTGGAACGGATGATAGACGATAGTATAAGAGTTATTGAATTGGTTAAGATTTACTGTGAATCATGTGTCACGTGAGAATAGTTAGGGTCTATTTGCAACTGCTTTTAAAAAAGCACTTCTCAGCTTTTGGCTTTAAAAACGCGAGAAAAGGGTAAAATAAGGCCTTCTACTATTATGAAATCGTCACATAAGGCCATGTACTCAATAAAGTGTCATATAAATGCGTCTACTTGTAAAAAACAATCGAATAAGTCCTAATGACCCGTTGACAACCTCTTAATCCTGATTTTAGCTTACGTGCCGATTTTTTTGACTTGCATTTCAACCAATCTTAGATAAATATTCGACGTGTGCCGTATAATCTATTATAAAAAGATGGTTTCAAGAACACTAAAATCGGGATTAGGAGGTTGTAAATAGGTCGTTAGGACTTATTTGATTGTTTTTTTACAAGTAGACGCATTTATATGACACTTTATTGAGTACATGACTTTATGTGACGATTTCATAATAGTAGAAGGCTTTATTTGACCCTTTTCTCTAAAAACGCACATATTTTCCCAAACACTACAATTTTTATTTTTCTCGGCTTCCGCGTCAAAAGTGCTTTTACCTTTTCTATTACACAAAAAGCACTTATTTTACCAAACACTACCCACTTTTACTTTTCAAAATCACTTTTTTCTCAAACACTATCAACTTTTATTTAATCACTTCTCCCCATTTCATTAAAAAAGGCATTTTTTAAAAAGACCCTTAGAACATAACTTCAACTCAATGTGAACCTTAAAAAGTGTAACATGCGAACCTTATGTATATACCCCAGTGATTATGTGTAAAGAATATACATTTAATACCCTAATGACTTTATTTGGAGAACATCTTGATGAAGTGAAGATCTTTTTGGAGATCATAGTTCAAGAGAATATCTAGAAAAATATGGTACCAAAGATAAAGTGAAAGAAAATAATACTCCGTATAAAACTAGATAAGATAGCTTACGGGAAGATACACAATCCAATTTTGAATTCCTTTACCATATCCTGGGGCGTAAAAGTAAGCTGCTCGATTTCCGAGCAAGCAAACTACAATGAATAAAAAAAATATACTTCGTATTACATGATCATTAGTAAGTAAATAATAATTAAATAGATTTAATTTAAAATTATGAGTGCACGTACTACATGTATTAAACTTGATCGAATTAATTACAAGTATGTTACATGAGTGTACCTGCATTTTTGTCAGCCTTAACAAATGTAGCGTTCACCAAATTAGGGTCACCTGAAATAAGACGTAGACTCGTAGAGTATGTCAGTTTATCATTTGAGATACATTATTTTTAATTATTTCATAAATATGAACACTTTCTTAGCTAATTAAGTTTTTGGGAAAAGGTGCAAATAGGCCCATGTACTAACCAAAAAAGGTCAAATAAGCCCTTATTTTGGAGGCTCTGTCCGGCCGTCGTCATTTGGGGTGGTTCCCGGTGGAATTTTTTGATGAATTTTTTTAAACATCTTATTCATCAAGTCTAGTTTACTCATACCAAATTTTAGCTAAAACTTCAATCGGGAAGGCATTCAAATGAATTCTTGAAGATAACCGCGCTTCTAACTGCGCAATTATTTTCAAGAATTCATTTGAATGCCTTCCCGATTGAAGTTTTAGCTGAAATTTGGTATGAGTAAACTAGACTTGATGAATAAGATGCTCAAAAAAATTCATCAAAAAATTCCACCGGGAACCACCCCAAATGGCGATGACCAGACAGAGCTTCCTAAATAAGGGTTTATTTGACCTTTTTTTTGTTAGTACATGAGCCTATTTGCATCTTTTCTCTTAAGTTTTTCTAAATTTTTACTTTTCTACCTTTTATCTATCATTTCACTCCTTATTTTTTACAGTTTTACCTAGTGCTAGTTCCGGATATGATTTGGTTCCTTTCTACGATATTACGAAGTACGTAGTATTTTTTTAAAAAATGCCCGTTTCCAAGGTAAAAAAAAACTTGCCGGTCAAGATATATCGAAATGCATGCATGCATGGTTACCGTCGTTTGGCAAGGCGGCCTGCAGGGGGGTGATGAGTGTGAAGAGTATTAGTAGAACTTCACCAATTTTTTTCAAAGCAAAACCCATTTTTTATTTTTTTTTCTGTGTGTTGTGGAGCTGAGAGACAAAGAAGAGATGTGCTTCAATGATGGACTTGAGCAATTGAGGTAGCTAGCGAGTTTACCTTGTACCTCAACACTACTTTCATTCATATATAGGGAAGGAATTGAAGGAAGGCTAATTGGATGGGAAGAATTAAATTTGTATCCATTTTCTGCTCCAACATAGCTTCAAATCTCCAATAAGTACTATTGCACATTTGCACCAAAAGGCGCACCATCTAATTAAAACCCCCCTATCCAACCCTGGCCTGCCCTGCCCTGCCCATCATCATAACTAAGCCAAAGCTTTTTTTGGAAACTTACAGCTGGCGTAGCTTTAATTTCTACCATCATTTAATTAAAAAAAAAAACCTTACAATCTATTTGTAGCTAGGGATATATTATATTGTAGCTAGGGATATATTTGTAGCGTATATGTAAACAATCTAGCTAGCTAGGGTTCTTAGAACAAGCAAACCTACACGTACGGGTGATTGGGGTATTCTCGGTAAAAGAAATTATTTTTCAAGTGTATATAAATTAAATAAACATCCTATCTACAACTCTAACTATGAAGATATTTAATTCTCTATTAGTATAAGTTCAAAAAATTCAGATTTTATTAGAAGTTAAAAATGAGACTAATTTAAAGAACGATGGTAGTATAAAGAAATTGCCTAAATAAGATTTATGCATGGTACAAGTGGCAAAACATAACTATTTGTTTTAAATTCCCTAAATAGTGGTAATTAGTTGTGAGTGGTCAAAAATATTCCCCAAAGGTTTAGTGTTAGCTAGAGTTTATAGCTTACCAACCCCTTTATGGTTTAGGGTTAGCCCTTCTAGGATTTACCGATCCCAGGTACAAACAGTAGGCCGCCGGTGGCTACCCTCGTATCCCAAAAGGGCAGTTTTGTCCAATCATAACTTTTTATGTTCTATTTTCAAAATTTTAAACATCTACTTCTATTTCTTCATTATGCTATAATTTTATACATGTGCCAAATGAATAAATATATTCACCATGACAACATACTTCATAAGCATTATGTTGATGATGTGGACGCATCAGATGAATTGAATGAAGGAAGATTCATATGAACCAATCAGAATGTTGTAGTTGAATTATTTAAATACTCCGTATAAATTAAAAATGATATAATGGTCTACACAAATCTAGTGAAAAGTAGGTGCGGTGCCCCATTTTTTAAATGGATAACCGAGTTGTCAGTGTGATGGAATATGATTTGTCTAAGTAATGACCGAGGGGGCACTAAGGCAGGTGCCACCTCTTTCGGTTCTGAAAAATAGTACTCTCTCTCTCTCGCATAATATCTTATCTTTTCGAAATATTTTTTCAATTTAATAGAAATGTAATACTAGTATGTTTTAAAATATACTAGCTGCGCTGTATTTATAAATTAAAAGATAATACGAAGTATATTTTTTCTTAGGGATGCATTTGCCATCATAAACCGTTGAGAGAACCTTAATTTGAGACGATGGAGTACCGGTAGATAGATACACTCTTTCTCATCCGATTGAAAATTCTTAAATCTTAGATGAGTGCATGTCATAGAAGTTTTCAAAAGCAACAATCTATATTATATATAAAAACGGAATAGTACAGCGTCATTTTGAGCGGGAATGTAAGCGCTCATTGCCTAGACCGATTAAGACAATTAATGCTTCCTTATATTCTAGATTCGTCTTTTGGTGTAAACAAGGCTCTTCATTGTCCGATGCTTAAGCTTCTCGAGAGTCATTGCTCCAGATCGATGCATGCCCTATATAAGCGTGAGAGCGTGCTTACGGTTGTAATGCAAATCACGGACTAAGCGCTGACTTGATCTTGCAAAAGGGGTTGGCAGTACTTTGTTACTCTTCGATTCAGTCGCCGATTTGTTACTGAGGGCGGCAGAAGGTTGAGTTCAGAAATAGATAAGGGAGTGTTGAGGAAGGTTTTAGTCATATATGGGTTTGTCATGGCTGCGGAAGGTATTGGTTATCACTGGGGTTTGGGGTTGCAGCGACCAACTGACGTTTCGGTCACGGAAGTCAGCTTGGGAGAGAGAGACAAGGTAAAGTGGATGTGAGAGCAAGGTTGATTTTACTATTAAATGTGGATGTGAGAGCAAGGTTGATGTGTGGAACGAAAGTAATTTGTGATCAGTTTGCCTTTCTGCTTGATTTAACAGAAAAGCAAATGTAAATTCTTGAGATAATCCACGCCAAAATCTTCAAAAAATAATGATACCCGTTCAGCCTATTAAATCACTTTGCCATTATGTTACCTTAACCAATGTCTGGACATTTAATATGTGTTGAAGCCTTATATGTTATATATTTGTATCTGTGTGTGTATATATATATATATGTGTGTATATGTACTTTGAATCTTTTTTTTGCTTTTTCTGTTGCCTAGGACGATGCTCAAACACTGATTAATAGCTTAAGCAGGGATAAGGAAAATGCACTTGAGGGCTAATCGGGCTTGACATGCGAAAGTTAAATTGCAGGTTGAAATTAGCAATCTCAAGTCTGATCTAGACTAGATTAAGACTGATTTGCTTGGTTATTAAGTAAGTTGTGGTTGTAATTGTGATTGGTTGTTTCAGGAACTCAAGAGTTTGCAGACCTTAAGCTGGAGTGAGAGGATATATTAAGGGATGTGCTAAATCATGCTCATAAGGACTAAGAAGATATGTGTATAGTAACCTTCACAATTAGATGCAAGATATTATGAACGCAGTCAGGAAATTAGAGGACAAATTGATTAAGTTGAATAAGGCAAGACAAGAAGTTGAAGATAAGATGGCTGAGCTCTGCAAAGAAAAGCAGACAGCAGTCAATAGTACCATCCAATTGAAGCTGGGGGTGGCTACGCTCTGTAAGGACATGCAAAATTTGATTGATAAACTGAGCCAAGTTAAGCAACATATAGTTAAATTCAAGGATGACAATAAGAAGTTGTTGCAACTATGAATTATTTCAATAATCAGCTGCTAAATTTTGTAAAACATTAGTGGGTTAGACTTTGTAGTGGGGTTATGAAGTGTCTTTGGTCTTTTGCTTAAATCGGAATTTACTCAAGGTTAATATAATCAATCTAGAATTTATTGGCTTTATAGGACTTCTATGTAAGTAACTCAAAGAAGAGTAATAAGTTTTTTAAATAATTACAGAATTGTTTATCTATAACACATATGGTCCTTTGTTTGAATTTGTTTTGAGATGGCAACCAGAAATTTAATCTACCCTTTATCCTCATAGTGGTCATGATTATTATAAAGATGAGAATTGAATCCCTTGGCATTAAAGTGTAGCTCTTCTGCCATCTTCAATCTCACCCATGTCCAGATCTTCAATTAGAAGATTGAATATACAGTAGTTTCAATTCTTTATTTGAGAATTTTGGTTTCTTTATGGAAATATTTTATTTTGCATATATGTTGTTTGAAATGCTTAGATGATATAGAAAAACCGAATTTTAATTGGAATTGTAGTAGAATACTTCAAAGTGATCTCAATATTCAATATATTACTATGTTCTGCTTATTCTTTACTATATTCTTGCATATTGTTTTATCTACAGTTTACTATGTAGTATATTCTTGCTGATTGTTTTATCTATATATGGCTATATTCTTGCAGGTTGTATGGGTCATCTCAAACTCTCAGTCTACCTATCCATATGTCATTGTGTTTCCATCATTTGAACATAAGTTCTGCTTATTCTTAGGTGAAAATGTGAGTCTAAAAATGGTTAATTGGAGAGATTAAAACAATCAAGCATGAACTGAAACAAGTACAATAATCTTTAGTTCTTGACACCTTGAAGTATAGCAAGCTGTTTTTTACACTGGTGGGATAAAGGGGTAGATTTTGATGTCCTTAATTTTGTGAGTATAAAGCAACATGAAAACAGAACATAGATTAATGTTCATTTTAAATGAACTTAGAAGTTAAAGCTATATATATTGTATTGTGTTAGAGATATTTTCATTGTAATTGTGATCAATGTTACTTTGCTAATTTATAGTTAGCTAGAATAATGAATAGGCCTTTTAAGGCAATTTGTAATAAAAGGTTTTATACCTTTTTAGGTATGGGCCTCCTAGAAAAGGAGCCCAAATGATTGTAAAACCTACCTTTCCCGTCAGGCTATATATATGCCTTAAGGGAAAGGCTAGGTTAAGCTTTTCGATTATTCTCTGTGCCGCAGTGCCATTCTTGTGTAAGGTTTTACGCTAAAAACTCTCATATCATTCTGTAAAACCTTCATATCAATGGAAAGCTTCAATCACAGATCTATCTTCCATACATACATTTTATAGACTAGAAAACAGGGACCTAACATCTGGTATCAAAGCCGGAGCTGATCGATCGATTGAAGGCTGAAAAACACTCCTGCGCGATTCTTCATCGTTGAAGTTTCGCACTTGAGCGATTTTTGGTTCTATTTTTATTGTTGTTTTTGCAGGAAAATGGTTGAAGGAATGTGTTTCTAGGCTTGCTAGGATCATTCCTGGAGAAAATCTCGGTCTGAAACTCGGAGTACAGGTTAATCCAGAGTTGAGCGATCCTGCAGAATAGCGCAACTCGCTGGGAAAAAGAACAAGTTCGCGCAACAACGCCTCCTGCGCGATTTCTCAGCTTCGCGCAATACTACCTGCGCGATCTACTGATTGAAAAAATTCACCCCTGCGCGATTTGGGATATCGCTCAACTCATCCTGAGACTTGCGCCATCTTCACCTCCTGCGCGATTTCACTTCGCGCGAGTACCCCTGCGCGATTCAGGAGTTGCCCCATTTGGACACTTGAGCGATTCTCCTTGAGCGATCTTACACTTGAGAGATTTTCTAAGTGTAGAGCAATCCTTTTTAAGTTGAGAGATCTTTTTGTATTGAGGAGAGATTGTTCGTAAAGTTGAGAGATCCTTTTTAAGTGTTGAGCGATACTTCTTAAAGGTTGAGAGATTGTTTGCTAAGACTTGAGCGATCTTTTTAAGACTTGAGCGATCTTAGCGAAGTTGAGCGATCCTTCAACACCTTGCCCGATTTAGACACTTTGCAACCAGAACATAGACATCTGACTGAAGACTTAAACAACAGAACAGAATCAAATCAATCAACCGATCAGCCCGA